CACCCCGCCTCGTTTTGCGTTTAGAAATTTTGGACCTGCCCTGTACCCGTCCCGAACCTGAATTACCCGCCCCTACCCGCGGTTCCTGTACCCGTTTGCCCATCCCTATCACATACTACTGCATTTTCCCCCTTAGGCTTCAGTTACGAAATAATGTGTACTTTTGATATTAAATGAGAACCATACCCTCATTCTAAGCACCCTCAATTCCCAACTAGGGTTACTCCATAGCCCGTTACTCTCTAAAACGTTTTCATGCCTCTATGTAAATGTAATCAATTCATTATCATAGCAAATAATCAAAGATATGACATTAGTATGGACAACCTATAACCTTGATACTCTTATCAAATAATAACTTCCTCATAGTTATAATTTTTTTTAATAATCATAGGAACATGCACAATTTTGCCCCATTGTACATGACCCACAAGCCACCAGCACTAGCTAATAATTGTCACCGATCATTGGTGCCAGAAAAAGGTTTCCAATCGCCTAAAAATTTTGAAGTCACTTTTCAACATTAACATTTGTTTGTATCATACTTAGGGCCTCCGTATTTAGACCTCGTATAAATACTCGGGGGACTCAAATATAATTATGTAATAAATGAATGGGCAAATATGTAATAAGTGAGGAGTCCTTATTCTATAAAATGACTCCTTACTCTCCTCATTAGGGGAGGCCAATTCTTAGGCCTGACTACCACCCTCAGAAGCCTCACTCTCCTATTCAGAGGCTCTCTATCCCTCATAGACAAATACAATATCAGTGTGGACGTAGCCCAAACATTGGGGTGAACCACGATACATCTTGTGTTATTTACATTTCTTGCAGATTCACGGTCGAACTTACGTTGTTCCAAGACCTCCGGTTTTGTGCATCAACATTTGGCGCTGTCTGTGGGAATCGATACGAAAAGTTGTGTCGGTTCTTTTTCATTTTTTTCACCTCCGCAGTGAATCTGTAAAATCACAAAGCTATCGACACTCCAAGCACCGTGCTCGCTCTCCCACTTCCGCTCAAACCCCATTCTCATCCTCCGTTACACCTCCCTTAAACCCCTTTCTTCCTTATCCTCACAGCCCGTCACCCACTTCACCATCACAGACCAATCCCTCTGAGTCTGTCTTATCAATTTCAATCCCCATGCTTGCTTATAGCTTTCGAGACCATAATCTCAACTGGGTGTCCATTGTTTTCAAATTTTTGATCGGAGTAGAAGAAAATTAAGAGAACCCATGAGTCTTCTTCCTTTTGAGCTTGGTTTGCTACCATTTCCAGAACTGGGTTCTTTATTCCATTGAAGATTTTCAACTGGGTTAGTGGGTTTTGGTGCAAAGCTTCAAGCTTTGGAAGTTTCTGCTGCCATGGATACTCCCCCGGCAGAGGAGGTCTGAAGAAGATCCAAGTGCTGGAAGCGGGTCAGGCTGACTTCAAGAAAGAGATGACCAAGCTCAGGCACTCCGAGTATGTCAAATCAGAGCACCAGAGGGCCCATTCCATCTTGCCGCAACACTCAAGTTTCTCGTCTGTACCCAGAAGGAGAATCGCTGAGGACGACGATGCTGCTGGTAATGGAGGTCACGATGCGGCGGCTTGGAAGATAGGGTTTTCTTCATTTCGGCATTCCTTGCCACTTCAGAGGGAGAGCCGCAGCCATGATCTTCCCATTGGAGGCAGTGGCGGCGGCGACGACGTCAATGGAGGAAGTAGTAGCACCGGACCTTTAACTGTGAACTTAACGGATAGGCAGTATCTGAACATATTGCAGTCAATTGGGCAATCTGTGCATATATTTGATATCAATGGGCTTATAATTTACTGATAGAAATGCAAGAGCAGGCAACAAGTTATCTCGCTGCGAGCTCTCTGCCTTCCAGCAACAGAATAATGAAAGCAGAAAACAAAAGCAAAAGAGAGGTGCGGTGGAAAAGAGAACGACAAAAGCAAAAGAGAGAGGTGCAAGCTGTGGGAAACAAAAGCGAAAGCAAAGCAAAAAAAAAAAACTGAGAAAAAACATAAAGCAAAAGAGAGTTTTTCCTCTGCGAGAGCACATGGGGACACTGCAAAAGCAAGGAATAAACACCCCACCAAAATGATGTGATTTACTTTTCTTGTTTTTTGAATGATTTGATTTATTTTTCTTATCTTTCGGAGACAACTGTATAAACCCATTAGAGGGTAAAAAACAAAAAAAAAAAAAAAAAAACAAAAAAGGCAAAGCCCAAAATAATGGGCTAGAATGTTATGTGGAGGGCGAAGGCCCATATGCCCAAAAGAGCCAAGCCCTCTATTATCACCAACCAGGTGATCAAAAGTACGTCAAGTGCTACAAAAAATTATTCAGCAGTCTGCCGTTATTACCACCAACTTGGTGATCAAAAGTAAGCCCAGTACTCCAAAATTATTCGGCAGCCTGCCGCTATTATCACCAACCAGGTGATCAAAAGTACGCCCAGTACTCCAAAATTATTCGGCAACTTGCCGCTATTATCACCCACTAGGTGATCAAAAGTACGTCCAGTACTCCAAAATTATACATGAGCATCACTGATGTCAATCATACATAAACATTCATGAGCATCACTCATGACAATCATACATAAACATTCATGACCATCATTCATGTCAACTTTTATGAGCATCACTCATGCCAACATCCATAAGCATCACTCATGCCAACATCCATGAGCATCACTCATGTCAATCAACATAAACATTCATGAGCATCACTCATGTCAATCTAGCTTCAAATGTTTCATTTACAGAGTTCTAGCTTCAAAAGCTTCATTTACAGAGCTCTAGCTTCAAAGCTTCACTTGAAAAGTTTTGCCTACAAAGCTTCAGTGCAGGGTATACAAATACCGCATCCGAACAACCGCCACTTCGGCCCATACATGGATTCAATTTGAAGTCTCCAGCCAACAGACTCTATTGACCGAAGACTTGCGGAACTACATTATGTACCATATATTGTACCATATATTGGGCCTCATGAAAAATACTTGGGGGACTTAGCCCATTATTTATGTATTGAGGAGTGAGCCCTTATTCTATAAAAGGGACTCCCTAACTTTCATTAAAGAGCATCCATTATTCATGTACTGATGAGCGAACCCTTATTTTATAAAAGGGACTTCCTCACTTTCATTAGAGAGCATCGCCGCCAGCTGAGCAACCGCCTCGCAGTGAGCATCACTCCTAACCCATTATTCATGTACTGAGGAGCGAGCCCTTATTTTATAAAAGGACTCCCTCACCTTCATTAGAGAGCATCGCCGCCAGCTGAGCAATCACCTCGCCGCGAGCATCACTCATAACCCATTATTCATGTACTGAGAAGCGAGACCTTATTTTATAAAAAGGACTCATTCACCTTCATTAGAATAGCATCACCACCAGCTGAGCAACCGCCTCACCGCGAGCATCACTCTTAACCCATCACTTATGTATTGAGGAATGAACCCTTATTCTATAAAAGGGACTCTCTCACCTTCAACGCCACAAGCCGAGCCAACCAAGGCAACATAAGCCACAAGCAGAGCAGCCTCGCAACATGTGCTACTTCTAGTTGAACATCATTTCAGATCGGGTATCGCCTCATATCGAGTATCAATCCTATATGACATCTAGTTACTTCGGCTCACACATGGACTGAGTTTCAAGTCTCCAGCCAAAAGACTCTTTTGACTGAAGACTTAGGGGACTACTGTTTGTACCATACTTAAGGCCTCCATATTTAGACCTCGGATAAATACTCGGGGGACTCAAATGTAATTATGTAATAAATGAAGGGGTAAATATGTAATAAGTTAGGAGCCTTTATTCTATAAAAGGACTCCTCACTCTCCTCATTAGGGGAGGCCATTTCTTAGGCCTGACTACCACCCTCAGAAGCCTCACTCTCCTATTCAGAGGCTTTCTCTCCCTCATAGAGAAATACAATATTAGTGTGGACGTAGCCCAAACATTGGGGTGAACCACGATACATCTTGTGTTATTTACATTTCTTGCAGATTCACGGTAGGACTTACGCTGTTCCAAGACCTCCGGTTTTGTGCATCAACAACATTAATAAAAATAACATATGTGCAACTTTTTTTACTAAGTTTAGTTTTTTTTTTTTCAATGAGAACTTTATTAATTAGTCATGAGATGATAATGGTGTTCCACTCACGGAGGAACTTACTTGTTCTCCCACTTATTATTAATGTACCATTACTCTACGAACTTAATAAAACGACCCATTCATACTCTTTATCATCATCTAAAAACAAGGTATACCAAAAATCCTTCAATTTGGAGGTCTTTTAGCAATCTATAGGTGTCACATTAATTAAGCGGTTTTTGTAACAAATAACATACTCATGATGAAGCATCCATTTGCTTGATGCATATAAATGACTAAGGGATCTCCAAATTGAATGATTTTTTTGCAAATGATCTTTAGGTAATGACAAAGAGTATAAACGGGTTTGATTATAAAGTTCATACGGTAAATACGTTAAATATAAGTGGTGGAACAAGTAAGTTACCCCATATGTGAAATATAAGCATTATCCTTAATTAGGTTTAGGTAAATGAGGAATGTCACATCGATTCCTCCTATGTAGATAGTTAGAAAATAATTTTTCGGTCCATTAGTGATTAGAAAAGTAATTTACGTCTATCACTTATGCAATGTTACTTAATGAGGCCGTTTATTTCCCTTTTTTCTACATGTATTGCATTACAGTGTACGTTGTGTAATTCTGCAAATTCAAATTAAAGTCGTATTAAAGTATCTATTTTATTATGGTCAAACTAGTCGCACCCAACTTTCGAACAGTATATTTGACTAATTTGGCTACAATAATATCATAACATCTTATTGATTTAAAAATGAATTTCCCACGTATATATGAAAAAGTTCGAGAAAGTTCAAACTTGTAAAATATATGAATAATGAACTATATTTTCGAAATTTCGAGATTACTTTGATTTGATCCAATCTAAAAAAAATTAAAAATAAATTAACCACCTAATCTGAAAAGTAGAAATCTTATTTACTATCAGATATGTCTGAAAATCACCCTTAACCCGGCAGTTCCATTCCTGCACATAACTGCATTTCACTAGGAAAAGTAAACCGCCGCTTGATCAACATATTGCAATATGAACGACCACTTACAACTTGTACGCTGTCTAGTTTATCACACTCACATGGTAATGCTTCCGCACTCAAAATCTGTGCTCCCTTTAAAAGGCTCCCTGATCTGTTGGTAGGAAAAATATGAGAGAAACTATTGTGAGGTGCATATATACCAACAAATAAAGCTTCATGTGAAACAACAAAGAAAAATCAATGTTAATTGCATCACAAATAGCTTAGATATTTATGCTAACTACGACAAGATTCATTGTGTCAAGATAGGTTGTGAGCTTCAACAAAAAGTTACCCATTAATTATGCAACTATTGGGTTCGGTGTCTTGTAAGTTTTAGAAAAGAATCAAAATATGGACTCTTTGGAAACAACATTGTGACTCCAAAGTCATCTAAGCAGTAACTAATTAATCCATTCTTCATTGGTAAAATTAAAGGAGAAAATATAGCAATTCCCCTTGTACTTATCATTTGTTTAATTTTCGATTGGTCAGTAGAACTTTCTATCAAGTTTCAAGCCCTCTAATCTCTGAAAATGTCGAAATTCCTCTCTTCTTGGGTCCGTCAACTTTTCCTTTAAATTTGAAGTCATTTTTGTTGAATTCAAACGGGATTTCCCCACATTTATAAGAATAAACGATAAAGTGTTTGCTCTCCAATTTAAATCAAGCATCCAAGTATGTGGGTTTAGTTACGAAAAAAGCTCTTCTTAATGACAATGATAATAACCTTAAAAAGTACTAACATTCCTTTGTATATGCTTATATAGTATATATTATATAAGAACATAACATATATATAAGGAATTGTTATTAGCATTCCAAAAATCACATTTGGCACTCCAAACTTTCTATAATTAGAAAGAAATATACACTTGTGAGGAGTGTAGAATGAGATTTTTGGAGTGCTAATAACAATTTCCTATATATATATATATATATATATATATATGTATGTATGGAGACAATCTACTTACAATGGAGTCGAGCCAGCAATATTCCTCTCACCCAAACTGTAGAAAGGTATCAAGAAAGCACGTTGGGTAAAGAAAGGAAGGTCATAACCAGGTGGAGCTATCTTCCCTATCATTGGCTCGTCGAACAGTTCACCTTTATGGCTTTCAAGGTCCCAGCTAAAGATCAATTCTGAAGTGCCATAGAAAATGACATGAGCATTCGGACTTATTGCATAGGGTTTCAACACTATATCTGCACTGGGTATAAGCTTTGTATCCGACCCCCATACCCAACCATTCCAAACAGCACTATATTTGAGAGTCCATTGGTCACCAGATTCACGTCGATCATTATAAGACCAAAAACGAAAAGTTTTTGAACTATCACATGTTACATAACAAACAAGATCCTTTGACACCCCAAGACATCCCATTGTTGCACCTGTCTTATCATCGTCCCCAAGAACACGAGGGAGTTCAAAGGCTCGAGCTTTAACGGTATTGAGGTCAATACATAAAAACTTTCTGTGAACTAGCAAGGCCATATAACACCCCGCGCAAGTATACAAAAATGCCTGCAAACCTTGGAAGTTTTAAATCCATCAACAAAATTGGGGTCGAGTTGCAATCCACGACGAGCCCACTGTCCAGATTGCGAAGAAAATATGTCCATCATCAGAGTTAGGGTTGGGGTTGGGGTTGGGACTGGGCAACCACTGGATTTGGATTGTGGGGAATAATCAATTCGAACAATTCTATAGTGGTTGGATTCAACAGGGTCAAAAGCCAAGGCAGCGCAAAAATGCTCACGCTCATGTGCACATGCTATAGGTACGGAGACATGTTGTTTGGTGATGGGGTTGAACACACAGAATTGACAAGTGCGCAGGTTGAAGAACAGAATTAACCCATTACAACAGTCAAGATAACTGTCAGATACGTCGCGCACCTGAGTGACAACTAGTTTATCGGGTTCTAGAATGTCATTATTCCAGAATGTGGTCCAGTAGTTATAATTATGATGCAAACATACGTAATTGAGTTGAAGATACGAATCATCATCAGCTGGCCACAGGGTACGGTAGTAAAGACCTATAATAGGAGACTGCGACCAAAATCTCCGCAACCAAACATCAGAGATTATTCGATGCCATGACTTGGCAACTATCTTGCATTTCATCAAATCTAACTGTGATAATCTGCTCAAAATATGAAACCACAAATCATCACACATACATAAATCCCTCGTACCCGAATCATTCAATTCGACAGCAGCAGCCGGAGAGCCAACCATGATGATCTCTAGTTATTCTGGTAAAGTTGAAAGAAACAGAAGTATCGGAAACCCTAAAATTTTGAAACTTAAGGGCAGCGTCCGAAACCCGAGAATTCAGAAATTCAATCAGGACCTGAATTAAGCCTCGAAAGAAACCATCGACTAACAATAAACTGTACGCAGATCAATTTGTAAAGTCTTCGTACTACATCTTATGTTGACGTGTGAGTCATAAATCAATTAGTATTGGAATGTAATTTGGTTTCCTACATTAAAGGGATTCCTACCTAGTTTAGGATAAACTCTTTTATTATTATTCATTGTACCGCAAGGTGTGGATGTATATATATTGCCTCCATATTGGAGATATGAGAATAAGATCAATCAAAGTTATTTTCCTATTCCTATTCGGATTGGGATTTTTTATTTGGATTTGATGACTTTAAACCAAGCATCATGCTACTGCCTTTTTCCCCCTTTAGCTTCAGTTACGAAATATCGTGTAGTTTTGATATGAAATGACAACCTTACCCTCACTCTAAGCACCCTTAATTCCTATCTAGGATTTCTCCACAACCGCGTTACTCTCTAAAAGCCTCTCATGCCTCTGTGTAGATGTAATCAATTGATTATCATAGTGAATAACCAAAGATATGACATTAGCATAGACATAACCTAGAACCTCAGTACTCTTATAAAATAATAACTTCCTCGTACTTATTAAAAAAATTTAATTCTAAATTGGGCCAGTTATATATAAGAGTACAACTTGAGTGGGTTGCAAGGTCAACCCAACTCTAACCCAACCCTCACAAAAGTGGTTAAATTTTAGATTGGATTTCATTCGGGTTTATTTGAGGTCAGACCTATTAAATAGTAAATAAGAAAAAATAGTTAGTCTGTTGTGACATATGTTCTTATCAATATGTGATTGTGTAAATCCTAAGTAGAGATAAAATAGGAATCCTTTGGGATCTAGAAGATCTTTCCTAATATACTTTGTATTACTTGGAGATCAAGTTTCTCTCCTCCTAATTACTATAAATAAAGGCACAAGGACTGGGGAATTAACAAACAATTCCTCAAGTCTATTCTCCAATCTCTCTTCTTCTCTTTGATGCACATCTCTGTACAATATAGGCCACAACACGTTATCAGCACGCTCTTCACGCTGTGCTTAAAAGAATTTAAAGAGAATTTATTCGTCTACAATCAGGGGAGTATTACGTTTCAATTATTTTTAATTGATTAAATCTTGATTTTATTGCATTCATATATTCTTATTGATTAAATTTATTTTTCTTCTTATGTTGAACGTGATACAAGCTTGAAGATGAAAGTCGAAATTGAAGAAATAATTTTTCTGCATCAAACCAGTTCATTCATATCATCACGCAATCAGGTTCTTCCAAAACAACGGTTTTTAACTCGATATTTTTGAAGCCCTGATCGCATGAACATTCACCATGATGCATGACCCAACTTTACGTTTAACGTATTTTAGATTCTACATAAATTGTGTATGCCTCATAACCAAAATTGCTACAATTATGTGAATTTGATATTTTTCATGAATTGAATCTTACATATGTACATGCATTGAAACTATTATTTGCATATGCATCAAAGTAAATACGTGATTCATTGAAATATATATACAATTGAATTATTTATGAATATAATTGAATTGAAAAAAAAAAATTTTGGAAACGGGAAAATTAGGGTTCTTCAAACCCATGCCTTTGCATTATGCAAAAGCCGCAAGAACCCTAGGGTTCCCTCCCCGTGACCCCAACAATATTGGGCTCACACGAGCCCACTATAGATTGCAAAGCACTGGAGCAAAACCCTTGCTCCATCTGAAAAACGCCTTCGGCATCAAACCCTAACACAAGGTGCCGCCCGAAGTCGGCCACGGCTTCAACGCCATTATTGCTGGGCAATCACACCTGCAGTTGTGATTGGGACCTCGCCATTGTCGAAGACGATGGGTTTTTTTTTTCAGAAACCCGATGAACATCGACGGGTTCTTTGAACCCCAATCGTTCTCGGACCTCTGACTTTGAAACCAAAGTTTCCGTCTACAACTCGGGTTCCCCAGTTGAACCCCCAAGCTTTGCATTGTCATAGACCCCGAGGACAGTCGCCAGAAGCGACACCGGCGTTCCCCCGGTTCGAATTTGACACCCAGCGACGCTGGGTTGTTCTGGTTTTCTTCAACCCGAGCCCTATTGGGCTCCAGTTCCTCGGCCCGTGTGAAAAGAAAAAAACATTTTTTTGGCCTGCCAGCAGCAGCCCAACCCATTCCCCGTGAGCCTGCAGCTCACCCGTGACCCCCCTTAGTTATTTCTCTCCTGCCCGTGGGCCTGCAGCCCCGCCAGAGACTAAACCTAGCCCAATTTTGGGCTTAGGTCACATGGCAAGATTTATATATAGCCACTCGAGGACTTATTTTGGGCCACAAATTTTATTTGCCTAATTATTTTAGGCCCAATGGGTTATATATTTTTTCACCCACATTTTAATTTGGCCCTGAAGTCCAAATAAATTAATTCAATTATAATTATAAACCTGAAGTTATATCTTTGTATATCCTTGTTGTATATTTGCTTGCATATATATATATATATATATATATATATATATATATGTGTTTGTCTGCAGATATTATGAACTTAAAATTCATACTTCCGAACCCCAAGTTTCGGAAAAGTGCCATATGAACCTGAAGTTTCTTAATGCGCAACACTCATGTTGAGACCCGAAGTTCTCCATGCTTAAATCCGTTTAAACCAAACCATGTCTTAGAACCTGAATGTTCTAAATTTGTTGTTTATGGAAATTTTATTTCCTAAAACACCAATCACATTCTTGTTTCCTCCATTCAGCGTATTGTCGAACCGTAACAAGTTCTAAGACATGGCACTACCCTATATTGTCCAATGGTATTAACTTTACCATAAACATTTGGAAGAGAGAAATTTGACATGGCACTACCCTATATAGTCCAATGGTATTAACTTTACCATAAAGGGAAGCCTTATACTCACTTCGTTCCGGAAGAACGCATTTTTGAGCTTTAAGGATATTCGAGAGTATTATTACCATATTGAAACCAATGTAGAAAAATGGAGTAAAATTCCTTGGCATATTACCATTTTGCACTTCTTACGAATATAGTTAAATGCATATTCTAGAGAAGATGGAACGCTTAACGAATGGATTACATCCATTCAAGTCCACTATGTGGCCGGCCAGAAGCCCGCGATTCCTAAGGAATTTTCGCTATGGATGTACGTTTGGGATATCTAGGATGATTCGTGATGCGCCGTTTTGGGCATCCTTTTACCAGAAGTAAAGAAATCATACCTGGACACGTATTATACCTTAGCACCCTCCATCTTTTTAGAAAGGATTCAAATGGGACATTTGTGGATAGATTCAACCACCCTACGGACCATTTAAATATTCTATAGTATTGGTTGATGCTTCTACACGTTTGTCACACGTGTGGTTGTTGTCCACAAGTTGCATTCTCCACACTGGTAGCTCAGATTAACAAGCTCAGGGCTCACCACCCTGATTATCTGATCAAATTTATTTGATTGGATAAGTTGGAGAATTTACATCGACATTTACATCGAACAATTTAAATCTCGATGGATATTGCATGTCGGTTGGGTTTTTTGAAAGTTGAACATCCAGTCTCATGTTCATACCCAAAACGACCCAGCAAAAGTATTCATTAAACACCTTCAAATGATTGCGTGGTCGACTGGTCATACGTACCACAGTTCCCGACCTCTGCTTGGGGCCATGCAATATTGCAAGCAACCATGTTGGTCTGCCTGAGGCCCGTCACGACCCAACCTTATAAAGCGCGTGTCAGTTGGTTACCAGATACGAACCCGACATATCGCATCTGCGCATCTTTGGTTGTGCGGTCTATATGCCATTTTGCGCCGCCCTTACGCACACAAAAACAAAGGGGTCTTCAGGGAAGGATGGAAATCTATGTCGGTTATCATTCTCCTTCTAATATTCGTTACTAAAAAACCTTTGACAGGCGATCTCTTTACCGCTCGTTTTGCGGATTATCACTTTTATGAGACAGTCTTCCCGTCGTTAGGGGGAGATAAGAACGTCACCGTTCCTAAAGAACGACGCGAATTATCGTGGACGTCCCCACTATGTCTCATATCGAT